GGCTGGAAGCACTGCTACAGGCTTGCCCTGTATACTTCCTTGACATTGACTAATTGCAGCCGCCACAAACTGTGAACCTTAGGCTAACCCAGTGCCATCCATCTTATGTGTTATGGTATTTCAAAACTGAGGAAGGAATTTATCTTAGGTCATCTACCCCAGTACTTACAAAATAATATAAAATAGTGAAATATGCCCAAATAGTGAAATATATGCAGTCAGCAGCCACACAGTAAAGGTCTTTAAGGATGGGATTCATCTTTCCTAACTCAAGGGTTCTGTAGTGCAGCTGCTAAGGGGCTTTTAGCCAGTAAAGCCACCGGGATTTACGATATATCCACCTAATCAAATGCTTCAGTGTGAGATGGCTCAGCTGTACTGAGCAACCTCCATGGACTAGAGAGGAGAGCCAAGACACCTAGCTCAGATGCAGGCATTTACATAGGATGAAAGGTGAACACCGTGCTCTGAATACAAAATACAGTCATCCAGAAATTAGTGAGGATGAATTCTGGCACAACAGTGACAGTGACAGTCACACCAATACGTAGCTGGGGAACATGGATAAAAATAGAACCTGTGGGAAAAAGCCACATTTTCTGAGGGACTACAATAACCATGGGTTAAACAGTGCCATTTCATCAGCATCCCAAAAACATCCAAAAATCCCTAGCGGGGTTCAAAGCCTTGCTGTGCTGAGTGCCTCATGACTGTATAATATGACACTCCCTGTCCCCGGAGAACATGTACAGGAGCAGTAAAACCTGTGCATGGTCTTTGCTCATTTTCTCTGGTTTTCTGGTTTCCTAACCATTTTCACAGGGTTCTCACCAAGTGCCCATTTCTCTCCAGGGGTTTTGCTGGAACACAGTGATGTGACTTTGGCAAGAACTTGAATTAAATGGGCATATATTGTTGTTCATAAACTTTCTGACTATCCAAGGCCAAGCTTGTACCATGACATTATGGGCTTCCTTTTGGGTGATGTCAGGTTATTTCAACACATTTCAAGAACTTCAGCCAAGGCTTAAAAACAGAACAAGGTAACTAAGAAAAATATTTGAAGTATTCAACTGTGTGTGGGCTAAGTTTATAAATATATATATATATGTAAGAATCAGAGCAATTGGGGGGGAAGATAAGAAAGAAATATACTCCCTCTAACAAAAAATTCTGCAGAAATCCTTTTTTATTCAGTAAACATGGGAATGAATTTAAGCACTACAACAGGCTGTGTGCTTTAACAATTTGTTAAAGGAAGCAGGAAAAATGCTTAAAAATGTGTTTATTTTTCTGTATGGTAGGTTTGAGCCCAGGTATTTGTTGGTTATCTATCTCCATGTATCTTCAAAAGTTCTGTGTTCAAAATTGAAAACAAGATCACTTGGCTTTTTAATCCAAATGGAAGCATCAGAGATACAAACAGGATTATTTACAGTTGCAGATGAAATTTCCAAAGAAAGGCCCAGGAGGCTTATTAAAGTTGTAGCTGGGAAAAAGGAAAAAAGGAAAAAATAAAACCAAGCATGGACACAAAAAACAGCACTGGCAGCTGGGGACGTGACTCTCCTGAGACAGACAGCCTGAGAGAAGAAAATATCTGGCAAGAGCAAAAAAAAGGAACAAAGAGGAAACAAGTGGATTCAAAGGAGATTGCTTGATAAGGGGCTGTAAAAATTCACAGATTTGCTAAACCCTGTAAGTAAGCCAGCTGTAGTATCTAGAGTATATTATTTTTAATTAGCTAAAAGTGGTCATAGAATTGTGGAATAAAAGGAAAACATGGAAGTTAAGTTACAGAGATCTAGAGAAACATATCAACAATTGTACAACAGAAACAAACTGGGCAGCTGCCTCCAGTTCAGCATTTTATCACTCTGGAAGCTATTTTATGGCCACAGGAAAACAGCAATGAAGAGAATGAGGTCACCTCAGGACATGATTTATTTTGAAACGGCTCTGTATGATGTTTAACGTAAGCACGTTTCACTGCACCACAAAGAATAAAGCTACTTAAATCGAGAGAAATTTAAAGCATGTCTGCATGTCTGCAGCAGCGGGTGAAATGGACCTAACACAAACCATGGCTTCATCTTCTCCAACATGAACTGACATTTCTTTCTCTTCTTTGCCTCCAGGAACACGGCCTTCCTGAGCAATGAATGGGTGATTAAATCATTAGCGCTAAAGGGAAAGACTTGCACAAGAGTAAAGCTGGACTCCACAGTGGAAACAACAGCTTAGGCTGTGGGTTATGGCCTTGCTAAGCAAATGACAATGAATGCAAGTCCCTTCTATCTTTTTTTTTTCTCTTTCCAAGATTTAAACTGCATTCCACAGTGTCTGAGCATTCAGTATGAACACGACATTTCTAAATGAAACTGTTGCTATTCACAGCACAACTAGCATTTGTACATAGAAATGCAGCAAGATTTTGGCACCCAGGGCTTATCTTCACTGCAGAGCTAAATTAACATTATAAGGTTGTAATTTGAATGTTGCCTTTATTTTAAGTCCTATTCACATCCAGAAAACTTCACTCAAATATGATGTAGAGTACAAAATAAGGGTAGAAATTAGTTGGTGCAGCCAGACCTCGCATACCTTCCCATAATTCTCATGAATCAAGAAAGGTTAAATTCTCCCAGAATCCACAGTAAAACAGTTTACAGAACAACCTCATGTACCTTTTCTGCTGACTGTAACCCAGACCAAAGTGAACCCTAGAAATCTGTCAGAACCTCTCCTTTTGCTTTTTCTCACAAAGGAGCAACAGAGGTTTTGATTCGTATTTTTTATTTTGCTTGAAACTGTGGCTTCATGCTCGCTAACGTGGTTCTGCACCCTGCCAGACTGCTCAGCAGCACAAATTTAATCTTGATCACGTGCAGGCATATGACTGTATTTCTGTTAAATCAGACAAAGTACATTATGTGGTTTTCACTGTCTTATCAATTAACACGAAGTTCATGTCAGCCCAGGAGGCTGGATGGTATCTGATCTCCCACAAAACATGAAGTTAACCCATTACATTCTCCTGATATGAGCTGGCAGAAGTAGAACACAAGATGCAAATGTGTGCTCTGAGGCCATTTCATTCTGGGTGCCATTAAGAGACCAAAAAGCAGTTGGATTGCACCATCCCAGGGTGCCTCAGGCACGGCAGCACACAAGCCAAGCTGCTAGCTGAAGCTGGCAATTTTGAAATGGATTTGCAGTTGTTATTCTTCACCAAATGCTGTGCCACCAACTTAAGGGGATACACAGCTGACAAGATGCAATGACCCAGGCGACTACCAAGCCGGCATACATGCAAGCACACAAGAATTACGGCCCACTGCTCACAAGATTAACGCACAGTGAAGTGACTCGAGGAGACAGAGAGGAACTCCGCCTGACTGCCGAAAAAGCTGCATTCCACTGCACAACCGGCACCAGGACCCAAGTGCCACCAGCAAGGCTCAGCGCCATTCCAGCCCTTCCTTGCAGGCTGCTGCCACCTGCTGGTCGCGCTGCTCCCGTGCTGCCACCGTAATGAACAGGGATCTCATTTTCCCCCTACCACCGGAGATGGAAACGTGGAAACGCGAGTGCTGTAAAAACAAGCGAAGGATTTGTGAAGCACATTTCCTTGAATATCAAAGTTTTAATGCAGTCGTCCTGAAATCTTGACATCCCTGATTCACGCAGGAGCAGACTGACATGAAGACAGAGAAATAATATGACACCAAGTTGGGTGGGACTGTCGATCTGCCTGGGGGTAGCGAGGCCCTACAGAGGGATCTGGACAGGCTGGATTGCTGGGCTGAAGCCAATGGGATGAGGTTCAACAAGCCTAATGCCAGGTCCTGCACTTTGGCCGCAACAACCCCAGGCAATGCTGCAGGCTTGGAGTGGAGTGGCTGGAGGACTGCATAGAGGAAATGGACCTGGGGGTGTTGACTGATGCTCAGCTGAACATGAGCCAGCAGTGTGGTCAGGTGGCCAAGAAGGCCAATGGCATCTTGGCTTGCATCAGAAATACTGCAGCCAGAAGGAGCAGGGAAGCGATTGTCGCCCTGTACTCAGCTCTGGTGGCTCCTTGAGTACTGTGTCCAGTTTTGGGTCTCTCACTGCAAGAAAGACATTGAGACCCTGGAGCGGGTTCAAAGAAGGGCCACAAAGCTGGTGAGGGGTCTGGAGCACAGGGCTTATGAGGAGCGGCTGAAGGAGCTGGGATTGTTCAGTGTGGAGAAGAGGAGGCTCAGGGCAGACCTCACTGCTCTCTATAACTACCTGAAGGGAGGTTGTAGTGAGCTGGGGGTCAGCCTCTTCTCTCGTGTAACTGGTGATAGGACCAGAGGGAATGGCTTCAAGCTGCACTAGGGGAGATTTAGGCTGGATGTTAGGAAATACTGCTTTTCTGAAAGAGTGGACAGTCACTGGAATGGGCTGCCCAGGGAGGTGGTGGAGTCACAGACCCCGGAGGTGTTCAAGGAAGGGTTGGACTTGGTGTTGAGGGACATGGTGTAGTGGGAACTATTGGTGATGGGTGGATGGTTGGACTGGATGATCTTGAAGGTCTTTTCCAACACTGGTGCTTCTGTGATTCTGTAATAATAAGCCAAAAGACAACATCTGAAATCAAGCTGCTGCCAACGCGAACAATAGCAGAGCACATCACACGGCACCGCAACCCACCCCGCCCTCTGCCACTGAGCACGCCCAAAGCGGGCCCGGAGCTCAGTACGCCGCAACCCCCTGCTCACGCCAGGCACCGAACTCTCGCGAAAGCTGGGGAGGTTGCCATGGTAGCGGGAGCCAGGGAGGCCCGTACGGCGCTGCCTGGCTTGCCGCTACAGCCGCCCCCGAGCCGGGCGCCGGCGTAGCGCCGTCACGGTCCCGCCCCGGCCTCCTGCCCGCTGGGGGCGCTCGGCTCCAGAGGGCGGCTGAAGCGCGTCGTGGGGCGGCAGCGGGGCGCAGCTCGGTGGGCGGGAAGGCGGTGCCTGGTTACCCGGGGCATGTCAGCGTGCCTGGAAAGCGAGGCAAGGGCGGTTGTGTTAGGGAGCGGTGCAGCTGCGCGAGGCCCCATTCGCCTCTCCCGCTCCTTTCTGTTCCTTTTATCTTACACCTTACGGCCTACAGCTCCTAAGTAGACCTCGGCGTTCCTCTGTTCAAAGGCCTGCGATAGTTGCCAGCAATGGTCCCCATCACTGAGCAGACAGCCTGCCATAGCTGCTGTGCTGCCATGCCTACGTGGCACCAACTGCAGCCTGCGCGTTCTGGGCTCTGAAAGCCAGTCCTGCTCTTAACGTGTAAAAATGGCTCAATGGGAAAAAGTTAGCAAGGAGTCCCTGTAACAAATCATTTCCAGTAGCATCACAGACTGTGCTTACCTGCTCTGCTGGGCTGCTCTGAAAGTAATGCTGCCTATTTTGTTATGTTGGACCACAAAGTCAGAGGCTGATAGTAGTGGTAAGATGGGAGCAACTGAACCTTCCCACGAATATTCCGTTTTGTTGCCCTGTGACAGAGCGCAGCAGAGGGGCAGTCTGACCAAATGGCTCTGACATGAAAGTGCCAGTGAAGCAAAGGTGTGTCATTGCATTCTTCCACATGGAATAAATAGCACCCACTGGCGTTCATCAGCGTTTGCTGAACAGTTATTAAGACCAACAGTGGATCAGAGCCCAGCGAGGCAGCGTGTTGTGGTGTGTTTCGAAAAGTGGCAACAGCAATGCAAAAGTCGAGCCACGTTCTGGACAGCCATGCAGATTTTTACAAGTGCAGAATGCAGGCTGTTTATTGCTGTCAAAAATGCATCACTTATGGTGATGACTATGTGGAAAAAAAAAAGACGCGTTTTGTAGCTGAGAACTTGTTCTTCCAAACAGTGTTATTATGCTATTCGTATCTGTTGTAGTTTCCATGGAAATAAATAGGAAGCATTACTTGTAGAGCAACCTTTGTAAATTTCAGACTCTTACGGTATGTAAGACTACACAAAGCCTGTATTAAGAGCTCATCATGCATTTTGTACATAGCACTGAGAGCAAAGTGAAGTCCCACACTCTCTCTTATTTTTTTACCTGTGCTTTGGTTTATGAATTATTTTCAGTTCTTCACCTGTGAGAACCAAGCTCTTGATCAGCTATAGGACTAGCGGGTTTTTAGGAACCTTGTATTTGCAGCTGTGGTAAATGTAAATGGGAGCAATAAATAAAGCTGAGTGTGTTTACCAGCTGTGAAATAGATTGGATGTTAATGACATTCATATTTCAGGAAGGAAATTTGTTTTTTTAATTGACTGTGGTGTTATTGAAAAGGGGCTAGATTGACAACCCAGGAAATATGTGTTCTATGTTAAGGGCAGAAGAGAGGATAAGTGCTGTTGTCCTTTGCAAATGTGCTTCAAATTTAAGCCAGGTTAGCAGATAGCTTTTCATTGCCTACGTGCAGCTTGAATTTGAGTGGCTTCTCTTTAATTCTTGCTGAGTGTTAAGCTTGAGATCACCAGTATCAAGTTCCTTACTTCCCTGTGCTAGCACTTATGCTTTGGGATAATTTTGGCATATATCTGCATTGCCACTGCCCTAGCTATTCTTTTCCATTGCCTCTCTCCCAGTTTTATGCCATTAGACTTTGATGAGTTGGATCAGAGGCATAATTTATGCAGCTGGAAAAACAGACCTTTCTTATATGAATTTTCTCTTCTGCCTTTTCACCCAACAGTATGATTGCCAGTACTGCCCAAGACAGGCACTGGGAAACGGGATGAATGAAAACATATCTTCTTTGAGAGGCAAATAGAACATGTCAATATTACATTGACATAGTAAACAACCATGCAGATTTGGCCTAATTCTTATTCAAGTCATAAAGTAAACCAAAGCAGAGGTAACTCTTCTTTCTGAACAACAAACTAAAGCTGTACTGCAGTGGTTAAATGGTTATCAGTGCAGCCTAGCCTCTTTTGTGACCTTCATGCATGTGGCTCCTGCTCCTTTTATTAGATGTAGACCCCAACAAGGCAAGAGGAATGCAAGTGGCCAGACTGCAGGTGAAGGTGAAGAGTAATGCCTTGGCTCCCTGCTCCTGCCTAAGCTTTCCTCTTCAGATTTATGTTTGTGTTTCTTTCATGCCCCATCCCTGGAGGCATTCAAGGCCAGGTTGGATGGAGCCTTGGGCAGCCTGATCTGGTGGGTGGCAGCCCTGTTGGTGATCTTTAAGATCCCTTTCAACCTAAGCTATTCTGTGATTCTATCATTCTATGATTTATTTATTTTTTTTAGGATGAAGACTCCCATGACTCCTGTGTGGCAGAAGACAATCAGCAGTGCACAGTTCATGCAGGTTAGGATCTTCCCAGCTATTCCCTTAAGACTGCTGTGGGGAAGAAAGGAGAGGGAAGAAATATCAGTGCACACATAACTATCAAGATGTAACCAAAATTGGGCTAGGTCTAGTCACACTTTGTGGTTCTTGACTTAGGTGAGTGATTATCTCCGTTCCATCCTGCAGTGTGCCTTTGTCTAGTATTGGTATTTTACTAGCCAAGTATCCACTAGAGTTAGATAATCAGTAGAATTTAAAAATGGGTTCAGCAGTTTTGTTTTCGGTTAATGTGCCTTTCACATGTGGAATCAATACTCAGATCCTTAAGGTAAGGAGCTGTGGTTTGTTATAATGTTCTTTTGCTCATTGTGAGGAAAAGTAGATTTTGAAGCGAGGTCTAAAGCTGGCTTTCCAAAACAAAAATCAAAAAAACAATCCCTACGAAGCCAATCTCCTGTCTTTTGGCCTGTTCCAAGCAGATAGACTGAAGGATAGAGAGAATGCTTTGAAATGGGACATTTTATATCTCTGGCAAAGAGAAGTAATTACCTCTGGATAGTGTGGTGGCTGGTGCACAGTACCAGTCCCAATTTTCCAATTACTATTTTTTTTTCAAAGCTTTTCTCTGTCTGTCATGTTTCCATTCAAGTGGCTTCTTATTACTTGGAAGGGCTCCTTGCTGACAAGCAAAGAGGACCTTCTACTTCCTCCAAGTGCCTCTGATGGTAGAATTCTTGATAGCATCAGATCATTACCTCTCCTGTCACGCTAGCGGTACGCTGCTACATACACTGTGTCAGAAGCTTTTTAGGACTAAGCCATTCAGATAATGCACAGAACAGATTTTGGCTGATGCGTTGGGATCGTAGAGCATATCATAATAAGCTAGTAATAAAAGCAAGAACAATACCAAATGCCAAGATTTTCAGTAGGAAACCAAGTAAGATATTTCCCGTTCTTGTGCTTTGTGGTTTAATGAATTGTTAATTCAATGCTAACTTTAAATGTAATGTGATTTATAGGCTGGAGCACTCAATTTACATTTCACTTGGATGTAATTTTATCGAGCCGTGCTTAATGATGCTAATTTCATGTAGATGATCTCTGCAGCCTGTTTCTACTTGAAAGAACAGAAGAGATTGATGCGAGGGTTCTTTCACTTTCTTACAGATTCTGTCTGTGCTGATATTTTTGCAAGGGCAAAACAGTTACCACTTGACTCAGAGGCTGTGGTGCCCCATTTGCAGGAGCTGCAGAATCCATGTGACTTACCACCCGTGGGTCAGTTTTCCCAGGGGTACTGGCCAAACCAATGTGAAGTCAGCAGGGACAGAATTGAGCACATTGGTAAGTTACTGTGTCACACTCAAAATCTGGTCCATGGGCAAAGAGGAAGCGAATCTTGCGTTAGTATTATTGAAACCTTAAGAGAGCTCTTTGATGTGCCAGGCAAATGCCCTGCAAGTTACAGGGACATGTTGCATTGCCTGTGTGGTCAGCAATCCACAACTTCACTCTATAGATGCAGCATCTGTTTTCTTAGTAGTACCATGTGCTGATAGAGAGCAATACAGGAATTCAGAGTAATTGCTGAGTAAACAAGCTGTATAAATAATAGTCTTCCTGCTTGTAGTCTTTTCTGTGTGTCTCCTCTGTTTCAGATTGGATACCCAGTAGTCCTGAGCCATTGTACACTCCAACGGGTTTGGAGATCACACCATCCTACCAACCTCCTGACAAGGGCACTGTGATTTATCTAGGAGAAGGTGAGAACACCCAGAGAAATGTTGCTCTAAGCTGTGGGTAGACTAAGTATCTGCTTTGATGCCAATATTTTACCTCCTTAGTGAACCATGCAAAGCCTAATAAAATCAATATAGTGTTTTATTGTTATTTTTAGCACTTCAGAATACATCCTTTTCTAATATATAGGGAAGAAAATTATTTACACAGAGGTCTCATCTACCACACATTCTGCTCATGCAGTTGTTAATCTCAGATGTCCAGCTCGGTTCAAGCCTTTGTATCAGCAACAGTATGAAACAGCTAGAGTGAGTTGCTTATGAAAATATGAGTGGGAAAAGATTACTTAATGTCAAGCCAAAAGAGAAAATGAAAAATATGAGAGCTGTATAACTGCAAGGTCACTACTAAATTCTGTGTTGGGAGAAATTTTATTTACAGTTGTTTAGCTAAGATTTACAAAGAAAAGCGAGATTGAATCAGTGCTTGATTATAGTCTCCTAAATCTGGCAAGGATTAATTGGACAGAAATGAAGGGGGTTAGTTGTCCTGTACCTCCAACATTATTTGATTATCAGAGTGCTTTTGTGTTGGTTTTTGTTTGTTTGTTTCGTTTCGTTTTGTTTCCTGTGCTTACTAAGTTGATACACTTGTCTTAAATGAACTCAAAGCTTCAGGCAGTTGTTGGTTTTGGCCTGAGTCCAGTTGTATATAGATAAGAAGGGATTGTAATAGTTTTGCAATTCTAGGGTAACTGGTTGTGGCCATCAAATTTTCAGGCGTGCAGAACTGAAAGGTAGCTGACATTCTTCCTGATGTCAACACGTCTGTGAAGCCTCGGAATACGCTGCTAGAGGTTTTCAATATGCTGAAATACACCATCATTTTATCTAGAAATTCACTACTGCAGCAGCATGAGCATATTATCATGTACTAGTCTGTTGATATATTTGGTGTGGAGGAACACTTCAGGTAGCTTTCCTGCCTTTTGGAAACAAGGGTTGTGATTTCTGTTACAGTCCATTGCTGCTGACCTTAAAAAAGGCAGCTTTCCGCTTTCTGGGACACAAACCTCCAGGTTGGTGGCTTTGCCATCCAAGTTTAATTTTTAAAACGCTGACATTCTCTGCGCTGAAAACTCCACACGATAGGCCAGACATCTCCAAATAGAAAATTTACAATGCCAGTGCCGCAGACTGATGGCATGCCGTGAGCCATCGCATCCTGAGGGAGGCAGCAGCTGCACTCTCCTGATTCCCACTGAATTTAACTTCAGCAGGAACGGGGAGTTAATACCTGGCCACGGACCATCTGCTGCTGAGCGCCTGCACGCCCTCCTGACATCTAATTTAGGACAGAAAAATGCAATCCTGTGGTGACATGCAGAAAAATCGATGGACTCTGATAGGCATCTCAGATTTTATTCCTACATTTCATTATGTAGCACTTGTCTGATACAGATGTTTCCACAAAGGCTTCACTGGTTTAACTGCTTTTCTTCCTTCATGATGAAGAAGAGTTTAAAGAAGAAGCAGAGGGTAGACAAACTGTGAACGGAATTTCAGCTATACAGAAAGTAATTATTCAAACGGGTATCTGAACCAGCAAAACAACAATTCTAATGATTCAGGGAATTAAAAAATCTTGGCTTTGCTAAACTTTCTTAAGCCATAATTGTCAGAGCTTTTCTAAAACAACAGGAGAGTTCTCTGAGTGCAGCTCACGCTGTCTCATTCTGTGCAGTCATGCTGACTCTGCTCCTGCCGCAGTCACCACACGACACTGCTGACTTCTGCAGCAGGATATCTGGGCTTCTGGCTTCCAAATGCATCTTCTTTCTCTATTTTGTGGGTACACTTTGGGGGTAGCAAGAAGTTTTGATTAATCCAGTATTCTTCACCTTGGTGGCAAAAGCTTTGCTGCTACATTGAGCACCAATGCAGAGAAAGCAAAACAAACAAACAAAACAAAAGAAAAAGAAAAAAAAAACTCTAAAAATAATTCTTACCTTCATCTGTAAAGAGAGGATCCTCAATGGATAAAATTATGCAAAGAATATTCTGGAACCTAAATAACTTCCAAGTCAAAAAGTATGCTGATGGTGTATCTGGCATTTCTGGTTGTTTGGTTTTTTGTTTGTGTTTTTGTTTGTTTGTTTGTTTTTTAATGAAAAATACTAATGAAAGTTCAGCTGTGCATCTCATCTGAGGAACAGTGCACAAAGTAGCAGAATGGAGCAAAAAGAGAGCTGTTTTCAAACTGTATGCTAAATATGGTGTGAAAGCATCATTTATAATATAAAAGTAATTGCTCTTGATTTAGGTGTCATCTTTTTAACTTCTAGACTAGGAGAGATTTAAAAAGAAAGTCATGGCAGCAGTTGTCAACTTTCTATTGTTTCTGATGTTTGCTTTGCCCAAGCTCATGCAGTGACAGATTTTAGGCTGACATCCATCAAGTTGAGTGGGAATGGGCAGCAAAGCTCCCTGCAATTTCTTTTACATTTACCTGAAGTATGCGTGAAGCTCAGCTACATGCAGTTGTCTGTTTCTAGAAGGAATTTTTAGAAAGATGCATTATTGCCTAAAATGACTCAGACTGAAATTAAATGCCTGTGTTCCACTCTCCCACTAGCTAACTCAGAATCGTATTTTATGTATTCCCAAGTGAGAGGTCTCTACCCTGTGAAACAGATCTTCCATCAGGAAGTGGACAATACACTCATCTTTGAAGCACGATTTGAGAGTGGTAATTTGCAGAAGGTGGTTAAAATGTAAGTTTGTAATCTTTTCCTCTTTTATTATAACAGAGTTATCATCAGAATTGTTATTACCAGTTGCCTGCTCACCTTCTAAGCAGGATGTTTCTCTGGATTTGTCACCTATTTTACACAGTTGAAGAAGCTTCAAGTGTAGTTCCAGATGGCCTTTGAATAAAATGATCTGATAGGCGTTATGCAATACTGAACTATTTCTGTAGGTAATAGTCACCCACACAATTTTCTTAAGCACATACTTCAAAACACTGTGTAGAGAACTTATTTTAGAAGTCTTAGTTTTAAGTCCTAAGAAAACCAGCAGTTGTATTATTGACACACTTGATACAAGTGTGGAGGAAATAGGCATCTTTTCCTGGCAGCTGTGCAGTCTTTAAGTGTAAATCAGCATGATTTGCACCAGATTGACTGTGGGGTACTTTCATGGCAGCCTGCATTGTTTGACACTGAATCATACTGCAGTGCTAACCAGCATCACAACCGTTTGCCTTCTTTTACCTAGCAGAAATGAATTTGAATACCAGCTGACACTGAGAACTGACCTCTACACAAGCAGGCACGTGCAATGGTTTTACTTCCAAGTAAGCAATACTCAGGCAGGGATGCCTTATCGCTTCACCATTGTCAACTTCAGCAAGCGTAGAAGCCTGTACAGGCATGGTTTGCGGCCGCTGCTGTACTCAGAAGTTGATGCTAAGGAACACAACATTGGCTGGCGAAGGACAGGAAATGAAATCAAGTATTACAAAACCAATGTGAGTGAAGGTGGACGTCAGTATTTCTCACTGACATGGACATTTCAGTTTCCTCATGACAGAGACACTTGCTATTTTGCCCACTGCTATCCTTACACCTACTCCAACCTGCAGGAGTACCTGGTGGCCATCTCTAAAGATCCAATGAAGTCCAAGTTCTGCAAGACTCATATCTTGTGCCATTCCCTGGCAGGAAACACAGTACACGTCTTAACTATCACCAACCCCCCTGAAAGTGGCAAGGACACAAAGAGAAAGGCTGTGATTCTAACTGCAAGAGTGCATCCTGGAGAAACCAACAGCTCCTGGATAATGAAGGGCATTCTGGATTACATTCTTGGTAATTCAGGCAACGCTCATCAGCTCCGGGACACTTTTGTCTTCAAAGTGGTACCAATGTTGAACCCAGATGGTGTGATTGTGGGAAATCATCGCTGCTCTTTAGCAGGTCATGACTTGAACCGCAAATACAAATCTAAAGTGAAGAAATGTTATCCTTCAATCTGGTATACCCGAAACATGATCAGAAGGTAAACTCATTTTCTCTCCCCTTAAAATCAGTGATTTTCCTATTCAGGGTCTCTGTCTTAGTGTGACTTCTCTATGTCCATTTCTGTTTCCATATTATTTATCTCTTTAGTGCAAATTGATACAAATACTTCTGGTAAGAAAAAAAAATCAGAAAAAAAAAGCAGTGTCACTATTCCTACATTCAATGTTTTTCATCCACTACTGGTTACACATAGTTTTAAATAAGATTTAAATAATATCTGTTTACCTTCAAGTAAATGCTTTGGTATATAAGTCCTTAGCTTGAAGGAGATGGGTACTGCCTTACTTACTGTACTCCTTTTCTGTGAGAATTTATCTCTGTCTTACCATACAAAGACAGCTTGCACTTGTGAGTCCCTATAATTAGTATGAATTATGTGTTCTGATGTGCTACTGACCGTCACACTCAGCTAAGACAGACACATTTGTTATTGCTTCCTTCTTAGCTCCACTATAGATTTTCAACTCTCGCCCAGAGCAGAGCCCCAGGCAACACACTGTGATGCCATCACATGTTTCCTGTAGGACTCTGCTTTGGCAGGGGTTGGATGTCAGAGGTACAGACTGAAAAAAAAAAAACAGCAGCATGTGTATGTCTACCTGCAAATTTTCTTTTAAAAAGCTAGTTAAGTGATAACGTGTTGCAAAATCATGGCACATCATAATAACTGATGTCTTCAGCTTGGATAAGGGAAAAACTATTCACATCATCATTCTGAGCCAGTTTATTTATCCTTCAGTGTTGTGATTGTATAGCGCGTATTATTCTGTACATATATGAGAGCAAAAGAAGCAGATACAAATGATGGATTTTAGCTGCACAACATGCTATAGGACACATCTACAGAGGTGAATGTATGTAACTGAACCTGAGAGAGGGACTAAAAGAAGGGAAAAAGGAGAAATGGCAGAGCGGGAAAAAAACAAACACCATATAATCAGGGAGGGAGATTGAGGAAGCTGTATAGAAAACAAAAGCAAAACAAGCAACCATAAAACTGTGAACATCTAGTTTTGTGATGCCTATCTTCTGAAATTCATTAAAGTAAGTAGGCTATGAAAGCTTATGAACACGAGGATAAAGATTGCTGATGAATACTGTCATGCCTTCTTGCACAGCCAAGTGTTTTATCCTGGAGAAACTGAGCAGTTTTGCATAGTAAATGTTGTGCTGCAGTAAACTTTGTGCTCAGAATATGAAATCTTACCAATTTATTGCTCTTGAGATTAAACATGAGCTTCAGTGTAACTTACTGACTCAAATTAGCATTTCCGAGGTGGAGAGAAAAGCACAGTTCTAGCAAAATATTCTGTGTTGTCCCATACTACAGAGTGATGGAGAAGCGTGACATTTTTCTGTATTGTGACATCCATGGTCACAACAGAAAACAAAATGTCTTCATGTACGGTTGTGAGAGAGAGCAGGAGCCAAAAGCACGGCACTTGTGTCCACGTGCCTTTCCACTCTTGCTGAGCAAGAATTGCCCAGATAAGGTAAGCAAATGTCAGGTTAGAAATGCAGTCAGCTGAAATTTCAAACATCAACAAGGATCCCTAAGTTCTCTGTAAGGATGTAACCATATTTGTTAAAAGGCTGTACTTTACCCAGTAAAATAATCTTCAAGTGGCTAAAACTAAGAATGGTAGAAGTACAAAATTGTGATTCCTTTGAAATTCCAGCACTCCAAAGTATATAATGCTAAATTATGTCATAAGGTTAGCATTTCTGAAATAATGAAGAAACCAAAGCGCGAAAATATGAAAGTAACACTATTTGATAATGTGAAAAAACTAGCATTAAATATTACATACTTGTATCTCACCTACTTATATCTACTATAATGTACATACAGTGGAATTAAAAACAAATAAGTAAACTAAAGAAGTTGAAAATTTTCTCCAAGTTGAATCTTTCTGATTTTTTTTCAGTTGCAAATTGTGTCAGAATCACCATGTTTTTGTGAGATATTTCAATCAAAAATATTTTTATTAGGAAATTACTGATACTAAAATATGTCATTTTCCAGCAAGATCTGACTAAAGTAAGCTTCTTTTTGATCAGAAAGATGGCAAAAGTTCAATAATAAGCAGTACACAAACGAACCTATTAGATGTGATTGCATACTTGCAGCTAATGTTGTCTTCCTGATATCAGTGATAATATGGTAGTTCATACAGCTTCATACAGCTGCATAAAAGTTGTTTGAGAATTCTCAAGTCCTTAAAGTAAATTAAGCTTCTAATTGAAGGCACCTACATCTCCATTATGCCAGTAATAATATTGATTAGTCTGAATATATTGTGCAATATTCAAGTATGGTAGATTGAAAACTCACAATTATGTATCTGGTAGATAGGATATATTTATTAAAAAAAAACCTTGACATTATTGCACCTTCCTATTAAGTTCAACTATTAATGGTGTGCCCATCTTCTAAGTTCTCGTTCCCAGACTGCCGTTTCAGAGTACGTAAGAGCAAAGAAAGCACAGGTCGAGTTGTAATGTGGAAGATGGGCATCAACAACAGCTACACTTTGGAAGCCTCTGTTTGTGGCTCTAAGCTGGGTGAGACAATTCCCTGTAGCTATTGAGTAAATAATCATCAAACAAGACCTTTCCTTTTGCTTCTTCAGGGAAAATGGTAGCTTGAGCCACCAACCCCTTGTTGGTGTTCTCTCTTACTGGGTAGAAATGAATAATGATTGAAGATAAGATCTGGAAAAAATACCCAAACTGCAGTATTCACCTGGTGACCGTTCAGGCCACCACTATCATTATTACATCTGTACTGTTAAACAACAATATTGGTAAGTGGCAAATTAAAAGTGGAAACTAAAAATACTGGTATGGGAATCAGCTATCCGGAAGAAGATCCTTGGTAAAAATAAATACAGTTGATGTGGAAAGTAATATAATACATAGTTAATCTGCTATGAGTAGATAGATTTGTCCATATAGGCAGCATGATGATCCTTAATGCTATCTGTACAAAAGCCTAGCAGTCATAGACCTACTTCTAGCATCTGTCAGTGACAGTGAGTTTGCAGTCAGCCACTATGCTGGCACACCGTAGCTAGCAGGCAGCAAGATGGCTGACATTTCCATTTCTGATTCGCTCCTACTGATGTGCAGGCTGGAGACGAAGCACCCATTTTGATATCAAAGATTTTGAGTCAATAGGACAGCATTTCTGTGATGCTCTCTTGAACTACTCTGTGGATAATAAGGAGGTAAGGAAAGTCCCTCTGAGCCTTTTCCTCCTTCCTCAGTTCATCCTACTGTCACAAAACATAATCCTCTATGGGGTTACAGTAACAGTAAATTTGCTAATAGCTTTAATTGAAACATATGTGGTTTTCTTATCATTATCTGTGCCTGAAGGAGCATGAGCAAATAGTGACGCAGCAAGCTAAGGTGGGCTCCGCAGTCCTGAATTCTGATGCATTAGACTGGGATTCCAGGTAATTTAGAACTATTAAGATATACCACGTATACAAACATATAAAATAATGTAAGTTCTCTGCATCTTGTAAGGAATGAATAAAACTTTCAGTTTTCTCTGAGGAAACGTGAGTTGGATCTACCTCATCTTACTTTCAGTGGCTGGGGTTTACAAGTCAAAAGCTGAGTTTCAAAACTGGTGCTGAAATGGAAGGAAATAAAAGGAGACACAAAATCTTAATGCGCCGTTAGAGAACTGAGAGAAAGCTCAGGGGGAACAAAGAAGATGATGCCGTACGGGAGGGGTTGGAGGGGGAAAGCATGTGAAGCAGAACTAAAAGAAGGCTGAGCAGAAGTGGGAGACTTGGATAACCTGGATAGAACAGATCTCTTCCAATAACTAATTTTTCTCTAAGATGATTATGATTTTTGCAAGTTAGCTGTAAAATGAAAATATGGATCTGGCAGACAGGTATCTAAAAAACATATTTACATCTCTACAACTAGAATTACTATAGAAAATACCTGCTAGTGGTTGGAATGAATGCTGTAAAATACGGTTTGCAATCACCAAATCTAGAAATTAAATAAAATGATGCTCGTCTTTTACAGCAGCCGATCTTCTGACAGCTCAGACTCCTACGATATTGCTGCACACCGGCTAAAATTAGGTACTAAGGTATGCTATGAATTTTTATTGGCTGCTTACATTTCTGACCCAAATGCCACTAGGGAATAATCGCTAGTGATTATTAGGTTCTATTCCAAAGAAGTCTGGTGTTCAGTCAGTGCGAATAATTAACAAATTAATTAGGTAGCCGATAATTGTAAAGCATTTACACAATCTGTGGAGATAAAATCCAAATTAACAGTGCAGAGCAGTATTGTTATTTAATAGCTTAACTCAAATTGCCCAGAAGGAAGTGGTACAGTTTCAAAGACAGGCAGATCTCTACCAATCAGATTGTGCTGTGCAGCTGAGCAAGCAGATATAGGATAAGGGTGACGAAGAGGATGTCAACACTTAGCACAAAAAATACTGTGCAGTGATGTCAACCGTACTTTGCAGACACTCCATTCAGTGTTCAGGAGTTGTGTTTTCCTCTTGCACATACAGACATACTGTATCATACTGCTGCTAAGCGCTGTCAGCATAAGGCTACCCACTGCCTATTTCCAATTTGTAGGCAAATTTAGCCCCAGATTTTACAAAGTGCTTTCAATGAATGACAGTGAGACCCTTTATTTTCCTGAAACATTTACTTGCTGCACAAGAATGGACCCAAATCTTTCTGTCTTGTTTATTTCTTTGTTGTCTGTGATTGCTGTAATAATCCTCATGATGTTTACTGTAGAGAAGCAAAACAAACTTTTGTGAGTGTACTTTTTTAGCCAACAATAATAATTCCTGTAAATTGTTACTTCCTGTTTATGTCACAGATACAGTAAACAACACTAAAAGGGGAAACCATATAAATAAGGTTGTGTACTAAGCATGAATAAAACTGAAGAGATACCCTGTAGCACTTATCAAAACATGCACATAGGCATTTCAGATGACTGGGTTGGTTGACAAGATGTATGACTTGGAGTTTTGGACCTAGTTTTATGACCGATGGAAAGAAGATGCAGTCAGATAAGCTCTGGTGAGTCTTGTTCGTGCAGAGCCCAGCAGCTCTACTTGTCCAGAGCCTCACTGTCGTCCATAGTTTAAGCAGTGCTGCCAGCTTTTGTACCTAAGGAAGATGAAATGCAGACAGGCTCACCCAGCCCACTTGGGGGCTAGTAATTTCTGATGTAGGGTTTGTGTGAGTGGTGCTGACTTTCAATGTTTACCTACAGCTTGAAATTTCTGCCCTGTGCTAACGAGCCAAATAAGAGTTTCTACTACTGATGCGATGTTATTTCCAGGACTGTGTTAATCATGGGAAGTTGAACATAGTGGGTCGTGTGAAGTGTCCTGCACAGTACAATAACTAATAGCAGAGGGGTAGTGAAAGCACACAGAGGAGGAGGGAGTATTGAGAGATTTTTTTTCCTAAATATACTCTCCATCTTGTTTGGTCTTATAGTATTACTTTTGAGATTCAGTTTGTTCACATGTGAGTGATAAATCCACACAGGAACATTTCACTGAACTGCATATAAAAAAATAAATAATTCATGAGAACTTCAGAATGAAATTGGTAAATGGACCCTGAAGTTAGCATCTTCTGACTAATGCCAAGTATTGTGGACTTCTCAGTGCATCTCAGCCTTTCATGTTTTCTTACTCCCCCTCCTCTCATCAGGCTGTGCTTGTGGGATGTGACATGGGGCTGGCAACTCGTGAGAACCATGAAAAGTATGCCTAAAACTCAGGGCTTTTCCAGGGCATTTGCTAAAAATAGCCTTGTTTGTGTCAAAAAGCCCATCATGCCAGTCACTGGGATTGATTCCTGTTTTCTTCTGATGTCCCTGAGCACTGTTTCCTTGTGGTCTATAAATGGCATAAATAAAGCAAGTCACACTTGTTTGCCTAATGCCACACAGCTGCACGTTGAGCTGGCTGCCACGTGATTCTTGTGTAGTTTATCACTGCTTCTTGCAAAACACCCATGTTTGGTATGCTTCCCAGGGATTGTGATTAAAGGCCCTATATTTACATTTATCCCAGTGATACAAGAGATGTGTAAATCTCTTGTGATTTCAGGGACTTTCAAACTCAGAAGTAGAATTGGAAGTGTGTAACACAGTTTAAATAACTGCAGTAGAGACAAGCACAGAAGACCACTGCAGAACATTAGGGTATCACTTCTCATCATTTAGGTAGACTTGCTTGATAATATGCAAAAAAGAAATACCCAAGAACAAAGCAAGACAGGAATGCCTACCCAGAAACACAGAAGTTGCAGGAGAATATTTGGTAAAGCTTAATTGCTTCAGTGTCTGTACCTCAGGCTTAACAATGGTAGTCTGCTGCCTTTGGCTTTGCATGGCAATAACTATAAACACCTGTAGATGTGGCAAAACTGTTAGCTAGGTAGGGCTGCAGTTGATCCCTTCCTGTAATTTATGAAACAAGCAAAGACTTATGTATGCCATGTACATATTTTCATTGTATGATAGTAGAGCAAAGCACAGTGAACAAACACTGTAACAACAGTAAGGTGTACTCAGAAAGTAACAGTAGTTTATCAAATGACTTTGAATGAACAGCTCATCACAGTTCTTGCAACAAATTTCTTACTTTTATCTCTCATGATTTTGTGTTATCCTTTGTGGATCCGTTTCAGTGACTAAATTAATCTTATTAGATCAAAATCCCCATCCAGCCTGGCCTTGAAGTTCTTTAAGGCATTTGGAAAAGGTGGTTAATGGAACACCACAGGTACAGTAGAGGTTTTGACTGGAACTCATGCTAGAACTTTATGGAGCCCTCAACTGCACTTTTTTAATGTTCAGCTTGGAAAACTACGTGGCCCTCAGAAGTAAAGCAGAAGCACTGCTACTGTTGCCTGTTGCAAACTGTCGTTTGGGAAATAATCATATTAATGTTTCGATGATTGATAGTCTCTTTGTGTACACATATTATAACGCTGGCTGCTTTATGAATGTTTTAATTAGTTCAATAGATCGATTCTTCTTCAATAGATAGAAACTTTTTGTATTTTACGCCTTTCTTCTCTTCTAGAAGCCCAAACATTGGAAAAAAACAAAGCAGTGGCAATTAATACTCCTGAGAAACCCTGTCTCTCCAGGTTCCCAGACTAAAAATAAACCTCCCAAATAGAGTAGGAAGTGAGGTCCCTCGTCAGCATAATATGTTTGTGTCCAGGTTCATAAATATTTGCTGAGCAGAACAAGCATAAGGAATTCAATCTTGAAAAGCTTGCTTACACATATTCCTTCTGGCACTGTGATTATCATGTTTATTTACAACTTTTTCTTCGTAACTATAATATTCCCTCATGAATAAAAATGTTACATCCTATTTCCTGTGCAGAATAAAAACAAACCATCAGGAGATCCCTTTAGCAGCACTGCTACGGACAGAAGTCATGAAAGCAGAAATGTGAGTGATTTTCATCCCAGCAGAAACATGCTGTGTTCTTTTTGTAATGACAGACTGATATATGACAACTGAATTCAACCACTGTAACTCTGAATGAGCAATTTTGTTACCCAGAGTTGCTGACCTAGAACAGTCATTGTTTCTTTACTGACAATTGTATCTAATTTATGCCACAGATTTTTATGGAAATATTAACATGAACAAGTCTGAGACAGGAAAAGTCATAAAATTCTGTCTCGTGGATATGTTATTTGATACATTTAAATTTTTATGTCACGGAATATGCCTTGGAGCTGGAGCCTATACCAGGTCCCCTTCAGTCTCCAAGATCACTAACATACCACTCACTCAGCTCCACTCATCTCACTTTTAGTATCGTTGAACAAAATTTTTGCTAAGTCCAGTAAAATATTTTCTGTTGTCTTTTTTGTTTAATAGAGAAAAAGGTAATTGTGAATTCTAGGAAAACATTTTTATTTAACAGTGGGAATATTGCCAAGCTCCAAGTCTGAAATACTCATGTTGGCAGCATTCATAACAATGTCTTATGCCCCTTCCTTGCACTTAGAGGTGGTACTGAGCACATGTATAGCTACATGGCCCAGCTACTACCCTATGGAATTAATCTTTTTTAAACATGGCACTTCTCCATTACTATTATTCAGCATCATACAGAACCATTTAGAAAATGTGAGATTCATTACAGTTGGCAAACACTTAAAAGTCCTAATTAAAACAATGGTGTCTAATATAGCATTCCTACTTCCCCAGAAAGAAAACTAATTCTATTTTTAAATGCTGAGCACCCAAAAACTTAAAATATGAGCAGAAAGTGCTGAGCTTTTGAGCTTTTAGAAATCAGGCCAACCACTGAAGTGTCAACTTGCCTTTTGCCCAGAAAAAAAAAAAGAGAGAGAGAAAAAGCCTGTTGCATATTAACCCCTTCCCTACTACCAGTCTTCCCCTGTCCTAATTTAGTTGTATTCTCCCAGAACAAGCCATCAGGTGGCTGACTTATTAATAATATGCTTTTCTCATTCATTCTGTGGGAGCTTATTAATAATTTGTTTGCTTTTCTATTCTGTCTCACAGTCCCCAGGCACTGAAATTCAACACAAGATATTTCATGAACTTCACCCAGTAGACAAAGGTAAACATTATATATTTATTTTACTTCTAAAAATCTCAATTAGTCTTTTTTTTTTTTTTTTTTTTCTTTTATAAGCCTAAACCCCAGGAAAGCAAATAGATAAATACAGGTCCTTTGGCTAGGATTTCACTCAGTCCCTGCTGTTGGAAGAGCTCATTTTGCTTTGTTTTAAACTATCTTCATCACATAGTTACATTCATCTTTACTGATTGGGAATGTCTCACTGGAGAAAAAAAAATGAACTTGAAGCTCAACTTTAAGAGCAGAAATTAACATATTTAACGAACAGTCTTGCAGTGTCCTGAAGGCAGTTTTTTTATGTAGCAGTTACACAGGGAAAGGGGTTGGTAGATTTTCAGGTAGGGATTTAATTAAAAACATTGCTGAGAACTGAGTACTGAAAATCAATGGAATTTGTTAAGCTTAGTGTTCAAAGTTACCCAAAAAGCAATGACACAGTCCACTGTCAGATACTCAGAAACACACAAAAACAAGTAAATCTATGAAGAAAGTAGTAATGTAGAAATGCCCCAATTAGGAAAATTCTTGGCCTCACCTCACAGTGCCATGTCAGCATTTATTGATTTTCCTTGTTGTATTTTTAATATATTCCAACAACACCTCAAAGCAGTGCTAACTGCAGCATAATAATGTCACTTTTTTTTTTTTCCCCTGCAGCTCTTATTATTAGCTAAATTTTAAACTAAACTAAATTTTGTGAAGCTGTTAATACATGTCTTTCTGGTTATGACCTCTCCTACACAGCTAAATAAGCTGTCTGAAATATTCTGAGAATTACAGAAGGAAATAGAAACATGATTATTTTTTTCACTGAAATAAGAGCTTTGAAATCTGTCCCAGAAGCAATGTCAGCAAATCATACAAAATAGTACTTCAGGCATTATTTTCAAGAGAAGAGATCTAGAACTGCTCAACCAGGACCAGATGAAAAAAATACAAGTTACCCACATTATCAGTGTTCTAATACAAAACTGTGAGTTTCAGAGGTTCACATGGAACTAGTACACATCAGTTGAACATAGGAATGTGAGTATATATTATTTATTCTCTAACTATACAAAGGATGTTGAAATTTAGTCTCAGGACAATGAGTTGGCATTCATAGAGTGATCTTACTTTGCGTGCTGAAAATCTAACAATGTCTTTCAGTAGCAGTAAGTTTTGGCAATGACTTTGTTCTTGTTTCTGAATTCCTGTCTTATTTTTCTGTTGTTTTTTTTGTATGTTTGTTTGTTTTTCCAAACTGTACACAGAGTTATTCTACGCTATTAGACTACTTTGTTTTCGTCTTGGATAACTTAATCAGAAAACAAACAAAACCAACCAAATAAAAAGTACTGTGGTAACTGGAAGCAGACAAACATTTAGTTTATGAAAAGGTTTCTGGGAGGACACAAGTTTCCTGCGTGCAGAGAGAGGACGTGAAGTATAACTCCCTTTTCCAGCTTCTAAGTTTGGGCACAAATAACTGCAGCAGTGATTGACTTCTGCAGCACATGCAGTGTCTGTGCTTTTGAACATTATGACTATCAGAGTTTGCCTGAAAAATAGGAGACTGATAAAGAACTTCTGTACAGATTGCTGTTCTTACAGTCCTGGGAGACTTTAAATCACTTTCTTCCCGGGCTGCAGCTGTTCCTACCTATTATGTATTATGCCCAAGGGTAAAAATCAGATCACACAGATCACATTCTATCTAGGCTTTCCTGGAACTGGGTTGCTTAGATGAAAGAAAAAAATAAATCCTGGCTCTTAACTGCCTTGTTATTTCAGTTTTAGACCTGGACTGCATCCCAGAATCTTTTTCTCCTACTGTTTTTTTAAGAAATGTTATAATTAGCAGGATGTGTAGTGAAGGAGGATGCTTACATGTATATGAGAGAAAATAATTTCTAGCCTAAGGGTTGCTGCAACTCAGGTACTTTCATCTCACCTGTGCTGGGCCTCTGTTCAGGTGCTGTCTGAATGCAGTGGCACCACCAGCCTGGAGGCTGCCATGCTGCTTTCAGCTCCTCTGGCTGCTGTGACTGGCATTTCTCGCGCCCCAGGGCACCCTGTTCTAACTCAGCCACCCTCCTGCAGTGAATCCTAGCAGCTGAGCAGCTCACAAGATGCATTATTAGTCAAGATCAACCAGATGGCACCACCTCTTCTCTCCCATTCGCATCCACATTGCTTGACCAGCATGGCTTGATGTAGTAGTGGAGATGTTTGCGAACACCACACATAGTACAGCCATGTGCATTGCTTCCTGAAGTGGTTGGGTAGCCGTCAGCCTCTATGGTAGCCTAGCAATTAGTGTTTTTAATCATGAGAAACAGCTGTTACTTTTTAATTCAGTTCAAGGGATTCAAACCTGCACTTCCCTGTAGTACTCCATAAGTCCCACTCTCTTTAGCTGTGGGTTTCCTTTCTTCTCTCACTGTTCAGTAGAGCTCTAGACTTGTAGATATTGATCAGAGAATCACAGTCAGGAAAAGAGAAACACAAGAAGGAATACAGGAGGCCATGAGACTCACTAGCCTCTCTCCATCCTCCTCATAGTCCCTGCTCTGAAGACTGTTTATTTCATTGTCATGTGAATAGCCAGTGTTTGCTTGCCTTAGAGCAGAGACTAGGACTGAGGGCACACATCAAAACAGAGCTGCAGGCTTACCAAAACAAAACAATCATGTTGCCTTTGGCATTCTCACTCCCTGACATATAGTTTTATCCATAGTAGAAGCATTTCGTTTGGAGCAGTGTGGAGTGTTTCCATCCCAAAATAGACTTTGGCAAGAGATGAAGAAGGGGATGTGGGGATGTGAGCTGGAATCAGTTCAATGTGAAGGAAGTCATAACCCCCACAACTTGCCACCCTGAATCTGAATGTTAGTCATTTGATTTGATGTCCATACATGTCTGCTTACAGTAACTTTACTTCCGCAGTCCGTACCAAGCACAGCCATCACTGAATCTGAACTGGCCAAGACAAAATTTGGGTGATTCATTTTGTTGTTATTTTTTGAGACATATGACATGCACATTGAATATTTTTTCTTTTTTTCCCAATTTTTTACAGTTAAATTGCCAATGACAGCCTCTACCAAACAAGTAGGAAAGTATTTCAGGTAGGAGATTATTTTCTGTGAACTTTTAATTTTTTCACAAGCTGGAGTGAAAGAATGATCGCAAGCTGATTTCTGTCAAACTCATCTCCTCCTTTTCATACTCCTCTTTTTTTTTTTCATTCACAAACTAAGACAGCTGTCCTCTGCCACTCCATTGTATGGTGGACACTTCAGTGAAAGGTGATGCTAGACAAGAAGAGAGTCCTTCTTCTTACCTAGAGCACCAGACCCCCTCCTTTAGCCTGTAGCCCTTCTTTCATCAGCTTTGCTGGAGTGGCAGAGAGAGGCACAGGCACTGATCTGATGCTTTGTTCAAAGAAGGGATGATTTCTGCTGCCTTGGGAGAGAGGGAGGAAGGGAGGGAATGCATTGTCATGCAGCCAGAAAGAAACAGTGAGAAGACAAATGCCCAGTGAGAAAACAAATGGGTTGGTGACACCGATAGCCCAAAACAGACATGTACTAATTGTAGTCCGTTTGTTTAAAACAACATTGTCATGGTTCTGTTACACAGCTCAGTGCTAGACATTCCCTTTGCTTTTCGGGTGTGTCAATTTGGCAATGAACAGTGAAGGCAGTACCCTATTGCAAAACCTTATGGCAGTAATACTGAGTGTTCATTCCTTGGTAGAACAAATGTTCTGTACCTTCTGTACACTTGGCTGTTGTTTAGTAACAGTCCAAAGTGGAATTAGCTGGCTAGTTAGGCAGCTGCAGATCCTGACAGAATCGCCCTGTGAAATAAGGCAAATCAGTTTGTTAATATTAAATAATTTCAAGGATCCCTGCTTGGCACCTTTCAACTCAGGCTTTTTTTACACATACTTGAAAAAGTTAGGCTTTCAACTGACAAAAGAGAGAAGAAATGTCTTGGTGTCTTTCTTCTGTAATGGCAAGGTATCTCTCTGCTGCTTCTACAATGGGTACTTCTGTCTGACTCAGAAGAGATAGTGGTATAAGGGCTACATAATGTTGGCACTGGTGTCCTTAATGCAGTGTGATGGCCTTGTGGTTCTGTAAAATTTGAAATACAGTACATTACTTCTTTTTTCTCCTGTGATTCTTAGGAAATTGCTTCTATTAAATGCATCAGGTGAAAGTAGCAGGAGTTTTACCTGTAATGATTTTGTCTTCTAGGTCATCATCTTTATATATATCTTGTCATGAAATTGTATGGAAATTAAATATCTTTCTGTCCTTATCTCTGTGTGTTTTAGCTCTGAAAGACTCACCTGTAATACTAACAGCAATTGTGAAAAGCCATCTGTGCCACAGGAGCCAGGAAAAAGTGTATTTTGTGACATAATCCTATCCAGAAGAGAAAATTTCCATTCATCCAGCTTTAATTTGATCTCTCAGAAGACAAAGAAACATAATGGCAAAAGTGTCTCCAACTCTTCACAGAAGACATTTCAGTATTTTAAAGGTTTCTCAGCTACTGTTCTATTCCAAAAATACTGAACAATAGGATTTAGTAAAGCAGTAAGACAGATGGTAGCAGGCAGTAGTAGTGCTGGAAAACTCCTTTGTGTGGCTGGCATTCTATGGAGGATATCAGAACTGGTTTTAATGGAGCTTTCCAGGTGAGACACTGAATGGCCAGAGTGTCTTTAACCTCTTTGAGAACAGCCCATGGAAAAGAGTTAGCAAAATCTCAACACAGTGGTAAGGGATAACGCCTCTGACCCTGCATTACTCTCTTCCTGCAGTTACTGGAGATAAAGGAATGTAAAATCTGATTCTGTGAAATGTAGGAAATGCTGGAGCAGTAGGAACAGGTTCCCTGCCTAAGGCTGAAGCTTTTATATTTTAGTACGAGATTTTGAATTATGCTGTGGCTCTCCTTCAGTAAAGGAAATGTTTCTCCCACAGTACCACAATATCATGTGAAACAAACCAAAGCCGTGTAATTTTTCAGTAAGTAGTAATTCACTAATAGTTGATGCGGATTTGTTTTTTCCTCCTTTTTGATTCAGGTCATGACCATGGTGCAAAGAGCAATTCAAAAAGGGAAGAACGAAAAACAGGGAGGCTCTCCTCAAAACCCAGAAAACTTGAGAAAAAACAGGGCAGCAAGACAAGCTGTAACGTTTAAGAAGAGTAAATCCTGCCAGGCACAAAGCGCATCACAGTTCTCCCTGCCCTTAGTGCCTGAAGCAGAGAACAGATAACCTGCTGCAAAATATCCGGGTGTGTTTTGGAGCCCCAGTTCTTCAGCGAAGAAAGGCATGTGAAAGAGTCATCTATATGATTTACTTAAACAATTCCCAGAACTTTGACTATGGATTACGGCTAGCAGTGAGGGAGCACAAAACCCGCAGAGACAATAAATTCCTCTTGCCCTTTTTTTCTGGAAAACTGTTCACACACAGCTGGCTAATGTGCTTATGTAGTTTCTCTTACCATGTGAAGAATTATCCCAAATCCTAAACAAGTTTATTTGGGAGTGTTTCCTGAGTGTAAAGCATCATTTGTACTAAACTATACATACTGATTCTGTGGGGCAATCTTCACTTGCAGAAGGAGCTGCATGAATTTCTGAGTGTCACCCATTCACCTCAACTCTATTTGGGAGCTTTCCTAAGATCCTAAAGGAGAGGGATTATTCACTGAGCAACTGAAGCCACCATTCACTGATTATAAACCATGAGAATCATTTTCCTTTTCACCAACAAATAAATTCTACATGGAAAAGCATTTGACATAAAATCTGTATGCAAATTCTGGAATTCCTTGCTAACGGATGTTGTGGATGTGTGGATGTAAAAAATGTGCATGGATTCAGGTGGACATGTGCCTTAAAAATCACCACATGGAGTTTTTAAATAGATAGGCTGCGTATGGTTTGGGAAATGTCCTCAGCAGTCATGAGTGAGAAGAGAGGAAAGTGCTTAGGAAATGTATTGTGCATGTTCTGTTTCTAGTCCCTGCTCAGCATCCACACAGAATCAGTCACCTAGGAGACAGACTGCTGTGAAAAGTGGCCCCTTGTTCTAAGCCAGTATGGCCATTCATGTGTCCTTATGTACCTGGGTAACATTTTACTCATTATAGTCATATGTCTGCATGGTTTGCATTGTCTTAAGGTGTACAGCACTGTACAGACATCTGGAAGAAGAGATGAAAAATATGCTTCTTTAAACAGGTACTAAGTTTTGTCTCCTTTATATTGTGTAGTACTTAGGATTGTCCCTTAAGTTTAGCAGGCTTCCTCACTCTACCTCATCTCTGTCTTTACTACGTACTCCATTGTAACGTGTAATCACGGCCATCAAGTTTTTAGCATTTGAGAGGAGCTAGGCTAGAATTGCCAGTAGTAAATAAAGCCTAAGTTATTTTTCTCTTCAAGAAGGAAGAACTGGCCACATCTGATATCCAAAGGGAATAGGATTCAGCCTCACAGAGTCCTAAATTCAGCAGACATGCAGACAACACAAAGCCATTTAGCTTTGCGCTACCATGGACTGAAGTCCAAGACAAGGTCTTAGCTTCTCAGTTGCCTCACCATATAGCTATAGGAAGAGAAGTATACACTTGGTTCAGTTTCACTAAGATTTATTTCTTTTTAGTTACCAGCAGATTGCAGACAAGATAAAATTTGTAATATTATCATTTCTTCCAAATAAAAGGAATATACAAACAGTGTGGAAAAATGTTAAGTAAACTCTAACCTTCTTTCTCACCAGCCTATGAACTCTCACAGTAATCCTTCAGGTTGATGACAGAGGGGCAGTACTCCACATAGCTGAGAAGTTCTTCCAATAACATAATTCAGATAAGACAACACAGTTCTCCTGTGGAGATTCCCTTAGGAATCGGTACCAGGGTCATTGCCAACTTCTGAGACTCTAGTATAGTAGCTTACTTTTAAAACAGCTGCTAAAATAAGCAAAACATTTGAAAGTCCCAGGTCACCCGTGCTTTGATTGTTACTGTTAATGAAACTTTTCCTCCACACAGTCTTCCAGCCACTCTGCCCTAAGCCTGTAGCATTGCCTGAGTCTGTTGTGGCCTAAGTGCAGGACCGGCACTTGGTCTTATTGAACTTCATCCCATTGGCCTCAGCCTGTTCAGATCCCTCTGAAGGGCCTCCGTATCTTCAGGCAAATTGACACTGCCTCCCAAATTGATGTCATCTGCAAACTTACTGAGGGTGCACTCAATTTCCTCATCCAGGTCTCCATTAAAAATACTGAACAAGGCGGGCCCCAGCACCAACCCCTGGGGAACACCACTCATGACCACAAGCTGGATTTAACTCCGTTCACCACCACTCTCTGCACCCAGCCATCCAGTCAACACTTACTTAACCCAGCAAAGAGTGTACTAACCCAGACCATGACCTGCAGCTTCTCCAGAAGAATACTGTCGGAGCAGCTTTGCTGAAGTCTAAGTAACTACACCAACATCCTTTCCCTTATCCACCAGGTAAGTCACTCAATCATAAAAGGAGATCAGGTTAGTCAAGCATGACCTGCCTTTCATGAACCCAAGGAAGACCATCCTGACTTAAAGTACAGATTTGCTTTATCTTAAGGATACACATACAAAGATTTGTATAAATGTTAGTTCTTATAACAATCAGATAGAATTTGGGTGTATGGAGTCAGAGAGGTAGCCAGGAGACACCTGTAAGATGCCCAAAGGACAACGATGCATCGTGCAACTGCACAGCCTTGAGGCACCATCTTCCACTGCCTGAAGGCCTGGAAGGAGAAGGAAGTGAAAGAAAAAAAGCTGCCAGAAAGGCAGCTGAAGGTGTGGAAGGAGTCCTCCAGAATAAGGTCAAGAAGAGTCTGGACACTCTCAGACATATGGTCTGATTTTTGGGCAGTCCTTGTGTGGAGCCAGATGTTGCACTCAAAGATCATTACTGGTCCCTTCCAAATCTGGATATTCTATGATTTTATGATTCTAGGGCAGCTACCACTAAGGGCAAGTCTTGAGACAGAGGCTGACTGGACCTCTCCCTGCTGGCTGCCTTATGATTCCAGGAGGCATTATAAGCACCAGAGTCCAAGGCCTTGCAGGGGAAAAGACAGAAAACTCCTCAGGGATCACCGAGGAACAACCTGCCATCAGTACGCAATCTGGAAACCAGTTAGGGCCCGAAAGATGCCACATTCCAAGGGTAACATTCCCAAATGCTAGATTTATTATCCTGAGCAGGGAAGAGAAGGCCAGACAGATAGAGTCATATGCAAAGACTAAAGCCAGGATGCATGGCCAGGTTTCACGCTCATGAGGGCTGAGGTGCAGAAGATGGGGAGGGTAGCAGCCACCCCCTGGAGGACAGTGGCTCCAGAGAAGTGCTGTGACATGACAAGTATGGCCTGGTTAGCTGAGAGAGCAGGTCCACTGTGGCAGTCATCCTGACTGGAACTGAGGTTTCACTTCAGCGGTCTCTGCCCATTCCTCAATTCCCCATCATCTAACCACAGTGTGAGATGATGGCCATGCTCACCTCCAAGGTTTCCCTTTCCAGTCAGCTCAGCAGCTGTAGCCTGCTAGAGGTTATTTGCTGCAAGCCCTTTCCCTCTGATTTCCCCCACCAAAATCCTTGCCAATCCACTTGAGATCGAAACCACCATAATCCAGATCCTTAACACCAAAATGACATCACACACACTGCAAACTGCAGCTTGGCAGAGACAATGTTAGCCGGGGCAAGCTGCAAAGCAGAAGCTGACAGAAGCACAAATACGAAAAGGGATCAGAAATGGGGTGTGAGAGAAGGAAGTGGTTTTGCACACGGGCGCTGAATAGGCAACTTTAGATGTAAAAACCCAGATATTTTCTTGCCAAAAACCTAGATCTTTTCTTCCAAAAAAACAGTTATTTTCTTGTCAAAAACCCAGTTCTTTTCTTGCCAAAAACCGAGATCTTTTCTTGGCAACTTCTGCTACGCTTGCTCACCAGTGTGAGTGTGAGTGACTCACCAGGAATTCAAAAACACGGGAGAACTGGTGATGCAAGCTTCACAACATCCACACCACAGCTACAGATGGTCACCTCTACAGAAGTATTCCAAGAAGCAAACTCCTCTCGGCCCCCGCAGCTGCCTAAGCCACTTTAGCAGCACAATTCCCATTACTCAGTCAGTTATACACAACAGCTAGCAGGGCCAGGAAAGGAAAGTGCAACTCTCCACCCAGCTGAGACAGTGGTGACTTGGCTCATGTTCTTTCCTCTCACATTTTTTTATGACGCAGTATCTGGGAGGAGCACGGCATCAGGATCCCAGAACCCTCTAAACCAAAACAGAAAGCAGAAGGCATAAAGCCTTGTGTAACAGGGGTTGTACGTCAGAGCTCAGATAGCACAGGACCTGGCAGCAGCCACACACAGGATCTGCTCTGCAGCTTGTTTCAGCTCTGCACTCATCCTGATGGGCAACCTGTAAGTATCCTCCAGCGATGTCCCCCACCCCTGCAATGTCATGGCAATGAGGGGAGCTACCATGGGAACAAGCAGTGCTGTCAGGTGCTAACATAGAGGAGGGAACAGCTTCTCCCTTTCCTTGCTGCAAGGAACTGCCAGCCTCTTGATTCTAGGCTCTGCACAGCTGTGTGCCCCTGCATGAGGATCACCATGGGCTCTCCCTCCCCCTAGGCCAGACTCAGCCAGAGCTGCATGCCTCCTGTCTTGCTCCCTTTGCCCACCTGCAGCTCACTGAGGGGAAGGTGTTCCCTGCCTGCAAACAGAGACTGGGAAGGCATGTGCCTTCCTGATACCAGCATCCCAATGAGCCCTGTGTTGCACAAATACCCCAGGCAGCTCCAGGGCCCAATGCACAGAGCTGAGGCACGGAGCTCCAGCAGCATCCACCCTGACGCACGGAGCAGAGCCAGCTGGGGGCTGGCCATACATGGGTTGCTCTCTTGCACCACTGTGATAGAGCCATAGACTCTCCTGTTCAAAAGTCATTGGCTGAGAGGCAAAGGAGCTGTCTGTGAAAGGCCCCAGCTGTATGTGGGTGACAGCTCTTTCCTGTTTATCCCAGCTTCTCAGGCAGGCTGCCTCCAAGGCAGCTGGGACCAGGCTGCAGGCTCACCAACACTACGCCTGCCCCTCTGGCGGGCTGCCAAGCCTTGGCTTCATATCCAGGCTATGTGCTTTTGCTTAGTTACGCACTATCCAGCTAGCACGGGGCACCAACGCAGGCAGATCTGTGGACAGTGGGAGGCTGCAAAGCTAAATCTGCCTGAGGAGGGACAAATAGGTCCTGAGAGTCTGCAAGGAGAGGAGAGGGCAGGGACCAGCGGTTCCAAGGTGCATCATACCTGCAGCAATCACTCAGCAGCATGGGCACCCTGAGCTGGCTCTCCTCTGCCTCTGCAATACCTATGCATGAACCTGCTAGGCATCTAAATTTGCTTCCTTGTGTGGCAAATGTGATACAACAACTTTTAATTCCTGGTAGGCTTGTTTGTTTGTTTGTTTGTTTGGGGGTGGGGGAATAGAAGATGACATGGGATGATTAAGCAGAAACCCCATGCTTCTACAAGCCTGCCTTCCTTAGGACATTCGTGTAGAGCATGGATGTCCAACCTTGGGGCTGCACTGTGTGAAGGGGACTTGCCTTGAGCTATGTATAAAATAGGAAATATACTTAATGTATATTAGGCATTTTTTTTCACATTTTCCTATTGAAACATAAAAAGAATAACAAAACCATAAAAGGAGTGGGATATTTGACCTTGTTTTTGTGAAACTAATGCATCAGTCTGGTTTGATGGCAGTGGTTGCCATTCTTAGTGAGTTATCAAGGGGTTTGTCAGGTATTTCTGATGAAATTTTACTCTTACTGTATATCATCCTGGTCTTGGGCCAGACTCTGAGCACCCTGATCAGTTGTAGGTGTCCATGTTCATTGCAAGAAGTTGGATCAGATGGTCTTTAAAGTCCCTTCCAGCTCAAGTGTTTATGTTTGTGTCTTTGTAGTAGGTTCAGAACACCAGGAATCCTCCGTGTGGCCTCCCAGCCTCTCCAGAAGCCTGCCATGAAGAGCTCCAAGGGAGGCCACAAGAAGAAGTGAGGCACTGACCTGTGGAAGGGGCAGACCTGTTTGGATCCTGTGACTCTCTCCATGCTGTGAGTATTCCTCCTGGCTATAACTGTAGCAGGGGGAGAGAAGTCTGAAATGGAATTAAGCTGGACCAGGCTTTGGGCAACTTGATCTAGCCATAGCGTCCCTGTTCATTGCAGAGGAGTTGGACTAGATGACCTTTAAAGGTGCCTTCCAACTTGAACAATTCTGTGATCCTATGATTTTTTTTTATCTCTGTACACATTTAGTGTAGGTGTCCTGTTCTCAAACATGCAGGTGGGTGGGAGGGGAATGCTGAAGGGTTTCCAGTCACCAGCAGTGTAGCCAGACACTGGGCAGAGGTGTGAGCAAAGTCCTTCAAGGTGCTCTGAAAACTCAGAGAGACTGTACCAAATCCACAAGTGTCCATGGGGTGGGAATGCATACAACATAAGTGTAGGAAGGTTGGCTGTGGACACCCAGGACATTGGGATGATGTACCTTAGCACAATTGACAGCGGAGAGGAGATAGCAGGACCACACTGTGAGCTTC